GCTGTTACATAGCTACTTTTTCGGACTTTAGAAAGTAACGTGATTTCTCTGGAAAAATGTTAAAGAAAAGTATGGACAACCTTATTTCACTCGAAAATGCATTCAATTTTACATTCACCCATGACAATTAATCAACTCGTAAAATTATTAAATGTAGGTTTCAGTATTTCCGAGTCTGAATAACGTACACGTTTTGCTCACAGATGACAAGATAGAGTAATTTATGCCAAAACGAACTATGAAAACTGCAGGTTTCTAACTCTTACGGTTTTTAAAAGACAACTGATTATCTCGTAAACGGTAACTTTTAAACACCATGTATATTCAATAAATTCTACTTAATATTAACCAGGGAATTCAAAAACGCAATGATATATAGGGTGTTCTATTTAAAATAACAAAGTTATGTAGCGCCCACACGAAATGGAACACCCTGTAAAGCTTTACATGGCCCACATGATTCCAGACAACTTTTATTAAAACCATTTTTTTATAAATTTTACAGTTACAAAGTTACAGAAGAATCCCTCTTATGTGGAACACCCTGTATTTAGCGTGGACAACAAAGGTGAAGGACAGGGTGAAGAACAGTGTGAAAGATTCCATCAGGACCTCAAAGAAATAGAAAGGCGATGTCAAGGAAAATGGAACGTAAATATGTTAGCTGGCTATTGTTGGAATCTGAAACGAGATATACCAGAAACTAAAGTTGAAAAAAAAGGAAGACATCCTATTCACAGATCATTTAAAAACAAAAGAGTAAGATACTCTACAAACAAAGATTAACTATAGTCTCGTTCTGAGCTAGGCTAAGCGAACACTCCTTTGGCTAAATTGAGAAATTTTTGGGTTCTGACTTTGACTACGGTATCATTTTTAGTTGCTCAAAATACGTTGGAAATGATATATTAGATCTTTGTGTTTGGACTTTTTTGTGTGCCTGATGTTCTATTAATTAAAATAAATAAAAATATGTTAGCAGTCAAACATTGACTAAGAGTGTGTTTTATTGATTTTATTGGCATCAAATGAGTAGCACTACTGGAGTCTACATCTTCGCACTTGAGTTTTTTTTGGTGGGCTGGTGTTGTTTATCTCAATATTCAAAATCTCTTTAATATAGAAAGATCGGAAAACTTTCTGGACATTGAATGGAAGTGCATCAGTCGAATATTATTTTTACGAAAATGGCATATTTCATTATATTCCAGAAATGAACCACTTTGAAGTGGTTTATTATTTAAATAAGCTTTTCAAGCAGTCAAATAGCTATTAATTAATTTCACAGAAAAAATAAATGGGAATATCTTTCGAAATATAGTTTAAAATACAGTGTGACAATCAAATGTCGAATAAGCGGCGGTATAAAATTTTTGAACTATCATTTAAAAATAAACCAATGACTCTTTTGATATTTGATGGCTATGCTGTATTTCAAATAAAAAATGTCTATAAATTTTTCATCTTTTTCCCTTTTTTCTTAGAAATGACATTAGCAATTAAATGCACCTATTCAATTTTTAATACTCGGTAGTGTTATTTTTTTAATTTCAACGGCTATCTCGAAAACTAGGGATTTGAAATGACCAAAGAACAACCGTTTGAAATTGTAATATAATCTTGTATATGCACACTTTGAGTATACTTTCATTACCTATATTGCTATTATCTAAACATAATTTCAAAATTGTTCTTCATGTAATTTTGGCCCAAGATGTCTCTATTTCTTAATCATTTCCTGCTTTTACTTCTAGTTTTTGAGTAAATGTATTACGCAGTTGTTGTAAACACTACTTTTCTACTAAAATCCAACATAAATACTATGAATTCATCAGTCAAAGGGACTATAGAACTTTTTCATGTATGATAAAACGCTTTCGATTCATCGTCCCCCAAATTCCGCTATCGAGCCAAGAACGATTCGCCCCGCATTTCCCGAAATAAAGTTGGAAACAGTTTGCCGATAAAACACAGCAACATTTTCTCTTTTTCCGTTTCAGAGCCGCCATCAATCCTGTTTACATTTTTATTGCCCTTTTATAAAAAAATATGCAAAACAAATTGTTCCGTCGATATTTTGTTTAGAAAGTTATAAACCGTTCAAAGTTTCCAAGCCCACAGAGTTAACCACGTAAAAATCATTGTGAAATTCATTTATTCCAGGCAGGGCCCACTGTGATTTCGGAATGGGCGGGATGGGAACTATGACATGAATTTTTGACGACGTCAGATGATAATTCTAATACCAAATGGTCATATGCCCCAATGAAATTATTATGATCTCATATAATATATGATACCTACGTTATGTCCCGGTAAAATTATTAATTATTAATTAATAATTTAGTTTCAATTTAATATCTTCGTCTTCCACTATTATATTTGTTATTATTATTAGGTATTATTATTTTTTTAATTCTGTAGCTTGCGCGGAAAACTTAACAAATCAACTGTAAATGATTTATTTAGAAATTATAAAATAATGTATATTAAACACAGGGCGTCACCTAACGAATGTTGCATACTTCATGGGTATAATCTAGAACCCAAATGGTGTCGATTTAACTTAAACTTGCTTAAAAAATGTGGCAAGAAAACGTTACAAGTTTTTTTTTATTTCTTGTTACAAGATGAAGAACAAATTCTAGAAAGAGTAGAAGAAAATCCCGAAATTAGTATTCATCGTTTGTCAGCAGTCACAGGAGTTGGCCGCAAAACCGTTTCAACTATACTCAACACGCACCAGTTACAATGTTTCCATTTTCATCCTGTACAAAATTTGCTTGAACTCTGGTTCAAGCAAGAGATTAACATTTTGTGAACGATTTTATAACAGAGATCACACATTTCTCGGGAGAATTGCCTTTAATGCTGTTTCTATCCGTACAGCTGTTTTTAACTGGAAAATCTCTCACGTGTGGAGCGAAGAAATTCCACACGCCATACAAGGGCATCACTTACAACACGAATTGTCAGGTAACGTCTGATGCGGGTTTATAGGGGCCTATCGCTCTACCTGCAAGGTTGCACGGTCAAAATTACTTGGAATTAATTCAGCAAGAACTTCCTAGGGTTCTCGAAGAAGTACCCATTAATACTAGACAACAAATGTGGTTCATGCACGATGGTACTCCTGCTCGTTACAGCTATTTGATGTGAGATCATTGAAATCAAGCATTTCCAAACAGTTGGATTGGTCGCAGTAGTAGCTTTCCTTGGCCTTTTCGCTGTCCGGATTTTAATCTGTTAGGCTTTTACTTTTGGGGTCATTTGAAAAAGGAATTGTTTGCAACTCTGTAACACCTAATACGAGAAAAAACCTTTAGGATAGAATAAAAGACGCCGTACGACAAGTTAGACGAATCCTATTCTCAATAATTTCATAAAACATTTCAGGAATTGTATCGAAAAGAATGGAAGACACGTAGAACATTTATTATAAATTAGTAGACTTTTTATTACTGCTACCTTTCAGTTTATTATGTTATTTATTATGTTTATTATGGATACATACTTATTTGCAAAAAATATGGGGTATGTGTTAATAAATATTTTCTGTAATATCTTCATAACCGAGCATAATTTCGACTTTTGATATGTATACATTTTTTGTGTAGAATAAAGTTCTCTACCTATTTCTGACTGTTGCGTGTAAAAATTTTAGACTACAAAAAAGTTACAGAAGACTATTCACAAAGGGTTGTAGTAAAATGAACGTCCTGTATGATTTAACCTAATAAGAACATAATCACTGCATACTTCATGAAGAAAAACTAGACAACAGCAAATTTTACTCAAATGTTAACTGGGTTCTGAGTTAAGAAGAAAATAAGAAATAAAAAAAGAGACTTTAACATCCCCTAACTTTTTTGCGACATTTTTCGTTTAAGCAAGTTTGGTTAAATCGACCATTTAGTCAGGGGTCGGCAACCTATGACCCGCGGGTCACCGAGTGACCCATTTACTAATTTCAAGTGACCCACTTTATTTCCTAAAAAAGTATAATATATAAAAATAAATTATAAAATAAAAATGAAACGAATATTTTGGGAATAAAATAAAATTTAAAATAGATGCTTTGTTTTTGCGCGTACGTCAATCTTGAAATAACCTCTTTTTTGCTTTTTGTTTGTTCCTAGCAATATATTTTTTTAAATAATAATAATTATTTCACTTAGGTAACTGCTAAATGTTTCTTTTTATAATAATTATAATTTTATTAGTTTTTATAATAATAATTAAAGTTTAAAAGCGTATTGTAATTATTTTCTTAATAAAATGTATCTTATTATTCACTAAAAGACTGTTTTAAAATGAAAATATCACTGACCCAAACGTCCATTTAATATTCACACCGTGGTTGATTTTAACCCGCAACCAAAAAAGGTTGCCGACCCCTGATTTAGATTCTAGGTAATAGTAATACCTACCATTAAAATATGTAACATTCGTTAGGTGACACCGTTAGGTACGATACATTTTTCTTAATAACCATATGGGAATGAAAAACACCAAATACAACATTATAATCTTAGTTTAGGTTTTATATTTTAAAAAATGGTTTGGACATGTGAACTTTTGGTAAAAAAGTATGGATTTGAAAGCTCGATTTACTACTAGGATTAAAAAAGAGTACCTAGTTAACTTTTGCACCAAAACTATCAAGGACTAGTTGTAGATTACCCTTGTGAACACATTTTTAATATCAACTTATTTTTTTTTAACTTTGGACTTGTTGAGTTTTGAGTGCAAGCAGTAGAATTGCGTATAGCCTGTAAGGCTAACTACTGTATAGCGCATAAAATTAAAGCGATTTTCCACGATTTTTGATATTTTCAGCAATTTTTAGAGATTTACTCATATATGTGGGTTCAGGAGTAAAACTAAGGACCAATTTGTATTCAGCCTAGTGGAGTTTCTAGATCAAAGCACTATGTTTAACCTGCATGCCTGTGAATAATATCCACTATATTTTTTTTAATGTTTTCATACTTTTCCAGGAGGTATAGCAGCAGCAGTAGTGACGGTTATCGGCAGGCCGCTCCCCACCATCTCCGAGACCACGACGGCCTTCACTAACGTATCCTCTAACAACTCCAGCCCAGAGAAAACCTCGTTCGCGAACGGCCTGGAAGCGGACCTGCCCACCACGACGGACTGCAGCGTCAGCTACCAGCCCCAGCACTACCCCATCAAACGCAAGGTGCGCGACGGCATGGACTCCAAGAGGGAGAGGAAGGCCGCGAAGACCCTGGCCATCATCACCGGGGTGTTCGTGTTGTGCTGGCTGCCGTTCTTCATAATGGCCGTCCTCATGCCCATCAACGCGAACTTGTTCGAGAAGTACTTAGTGTCGATTTTTTTATGGTTGGGCTACTTCAATTCGACGTTGAATCCCATCATCTACACCATCTTCAGTCCAGAGTTCCGGCACGCCTTCAAGAAGATCCTGTGCGGGAGAAACTACGCCAGGAGGAATAGGCATTTTGGCGTGAAGCATTTTCAATGATGGCGGCAGAGTGGTCGCTTACCTTCGGATAATGAACCGCCTGTAGCAGCGAGGTACTTACATGTTCGATTTTTTTCTTGTCTTTAGGGTAAGATAAATAGTTACCCGTTTAAAATAGGTACCCAGGTGACAGTAATCCTAACAAGACTTGGCAGAGCTGTCAATTCAAAACCAACTAGAATTTAGTTACTTACATTTTTTAAGTTTTCTAACAAAAGTATATTTTAATTCATAAATCAAAATATCTTGGGCTAAGAGAACTTCAAAAAATAGGAATGTTTTCCCTAAGGACATTGGCCTATCGTCTTTTGTTCTTGAGATACAGGGCATCCAAGATTTAAAATCAATTTTTTTTAAGGATACATAGGTATACATGTGTACTGTATATACTAATAATGTAACATTCCATTTTGCAAAGAGGATGCTCTTGTTGAAACTTTTAAGATATCTCCGTTTTTAAGAAAAGCACAGTTCTCTGCTCCGAAGTCAACCACCTTAATATACAAGGTGTCCGGAAATGATTACGCCGTACTTTCAGGATCATTTCCGTAGAAGAAAATACACTGATTTAGACCACGTTACCGTAGTAGTCCTTAAAAATTTGCGTCAGTATTAGTTAATATGAAATATAAAAAATATGAAAAAAAAATGTTGTAAAGGTAACTTGAGCTTAATCGATTTATTTCATTCTTCCCTTATAGTACCCACGACCTATTATTTTCTGGATATCCTGTATGTTAAAAAGCAAAGGGTAATTAAAAAACGGCGCATTTTTTACGATTTTAATAAGAGTACATTTATGCAAAATGAAATTTTATATTTTAATACGACATATTCTGTAAAGAAAATGTGTGCTATAACATGTCACTGAGAAAGATTGTGGCTAACGACTTGTAGCAAGTGATCAAAAACTAACAACACTAATCAATAACGTCAAAAACTTATCTCTACCAAATTTCAATACATTCCATTATATTTTGGAAAAGGTACGGCTAATTTTTAAGTTTAAAAACTCATCTTTGATCTCAAAAATAGAAGATGATCCCATGATGACAGAAAAAAATCTTCTTATTTTTTATGTCTGTCAGCTCCTGAAATTATGATACCTTTTTCCAAAACGTTTTCCAAAACAAAAAAAAAACTAATAACCACATTTTATTGTAAATGGGAAGGAACTAACTTGTTTTATTTTTAAGGAGAAAAGGAAAATAGAATATTTTCGATCCCTTGCTAAGTTAGCAGATCTTATAACAGGCGTTATAATAGAAACTGTTTAAAATTATCTATGATAAAAAGAATTTAATAAAACATGGTGGTATTATCAGTCAAGGATTAACTTTTCTGAACTATTTTTGTCAAACTACAACTACTCATCCTTCTGATCTATTTTTAAGGCCTAAGTTTTAACTAGGTAAATTAACATTTTTAAGTGTATGTGAAGTCTATAAAAAAAAAAAGCTGAATATTACATTTTTCGAAAACTATCATAATAGTATATTGTTATATAAGGATTAAAAGTGTTACTTTTGTGGCGTAGACACTTTTAATCCGAATTAAACATGCTATTTTTTCTCCAACCGAAATTCCCCATTTCATTATTAATCTGTGCTTTGAAATTATTCAAACCAAATAATTAAGCACGATAGGATATATAGTGTTCATTTGTGGTTTTTTGTGGTTCAATTTGCTGAAAGCTCTGTAAAAATGGAATTTAATGAAGATTTGGGTATACCTGACGATATACTGGAGTGTGCAAAAGAGATTTCTTTGAATCTTCTTCCAAAGAAATCTCGAGAAATTTATGAATGTGTCTACCAACGTTTTGTGGATTGGTGCAAAGAAAAAAACATAAATATTCTTGAATAAACTTTTGTTAAGTTAAAACTTGATGAACACTTTTAATTTTAGATTAAAAGTGTCAATCTTAGCTCCTAGGATTAAAAGTGACTACTTTTGTTGCTAAGATACAATTTTTTTCTCAGTAAGGAAAATGTCAACCTTGGAGATTTCTGACAGTCAAAAAATGTCGTAACTTTGTGACGATTAGGGAAAAATTTATTTTTTTTATTTCATAAATGTTAAAGAAACACTTTAGTTAACTGGAACGAAACACTATTTTGTTCCGGAACGAAATAGTTATTTTTTATGCTAGATCACGAAATGCTATTTTTGCATTCGAGAATGAAAGTTTTCTTAATATGAGATTAAAAGAGTTGAATGTTGAAAAAACACTAAATGCCAAACAAAATAAAGATATAGAGAATTATTCCAAATTAGAGTACCCTATTTGCTCCCAAAACTGGTACTTTTTCAATAATTACTCAGTGCCTTAATCAAGAATCTATTGCAGTGAGCGACTTCACATCCTCGAGTGAAGGCAGTTTTCACAATTGTTCAATTTCGACTGTAAATTTGAAGGTTGACAGAATTTATTTTTTAAATTCATTGTTACTGATTATTACTAATTGTTAAAAATTATAATTTCGTTGACGATAATAAATAAATTAGTGAACTGGTTATATCATCTATAATTTCATTGATTTTTGTAGGTGAATGTAAAAGCCTATGCATCCTGGATGTAAAAGACTTTTTCGTTTTGTTGACAAAAAACTGTTGTATTGACACTTTACAAATGTCACGTAAAAATCAACTTTTAATGGCAATTTTCGAAAAAACCTATTGTGAGTGAGTAAAGTACCGCCAATGTCGGTCATTAATGAAAATTTTTCATCAGAACAAATGTATAAATCATAAATGTTTCGATTTCGACTTTCGTTAAAATCTTTTTTGTACGAAACGGAATCGATTTACTTTTTATTATTTTACATGGAGAAACCAACCTTGTTAACTAGCAAATTTCTTGCAAAATTGTTTTGTTTAAGTTTCTAACAAGAATGATTTTGAATAAAATACAATTTTACATTATGATTTGTGACTTACAATATAGAAAACCTAACCTCGAAAATATTCTATAATATCGCTGCTGGCAAAAACTTAGTTATATCAAATTTCGATGCCATTCAGTGTTTTTTTTCAACAAAAATACTGCCAAAACTATCTTTAATATCCTGTAGGTATAATTTAATCTTTTAATCATTATTTATGGATCAAATTTTCATAAATCTCTCAAATAAAAAAGAAGGTAGGCCCATAGGAGTTAAGAAAAAATCGTTCCTTTTTTACCAACTCCTGATTAAAACTCAAATAGACACCTTAACAGCAGCAGAAGCAAGAGAGAGAAAATTTATAAGGTTCCATTATTTCAGGTCTATTAAAATATTCACTTTTTACGAATTTGCGTCATGTTTCACAAAGAGTGAGGATCTAAAACTTTAGTTCTCCTCATTTCAACTTTCTTAATTATCTTGAAAACCTCCCCTGTAATTTGACCTTTAAAGTAATCCAACTACGTAGTTCTTACAGAGAATTTTAAACATTTTAAAACAGATCCATAATTTAAAGTAACACCGCTCAAAAAGCGTATCGCACCTGTCTCGGTGTGCATTTCGCCGACGCTGTGGGCATCATCGGGAGATTGAAACCACGTTTTTTTCTTCTTTTTTCAGACTAGCCGCCATAGTGGCCGCCCCAGCTGTGGCGTCGGGTTCGAGGAACGTCACCTTCAAGTGTGACTGATCCGAAGATAAGAGATCACGCAACGTGATTTCGCCTACCGTAGACTTCGATAGCAGTAGCAGTAGTGATAATCCCAGGAGGGTTATCCTGGAGTTGAAACATATTCCATAAAACGGGCAAATCGGGTACACATACAGGAATAAGTATTTTGAAAAAGATGGCTGTGTCAAAAAACCTTAAAACATTAAACCTTTCTAAATTATTGTACAATTAATTGATAATTTTATTAACAAAATACAGGTGCAATTATTTTTAAAAATAGGTTTAGAGCCCAACGATAGTTTAATCAAAGTTATCTTTGATAGACACAACTTCATTCAACGTTTTTGGGATGATATAACGTTGATTTAACTTTCGTTTAACGTGTTTTGTTGATATAACGTTAATTTAACGTTCTTACTACTACACTATAAAATTTTGCCGTGCTAATATCTTTTTGGCATAAATAACACATAGCTTAATATTTCGAAATACTTATATATAATATTTCGACTGAAATTAATTGTAACTGACCACTGTTGTAGGTATCACAATATATAATATCTTATGAATTATATAATAGTAAATACACATCTATGTTCGATCTACAAACATGTAATTTATTTCATTAAACTGATATATTATAGGTGTAAAAAATTATTTTTTTATTCTAGAGGTAACAGTAATTACATATTATAATAAGTTTAGTGTATGTGACACGTAAAAATTAATGTATAGAGTATTAAGGGAAACATTTTGTAAATACAAGAAATCAACTAACATATATATAGATATGTATATATATATTGTATTATAGTTGTAATTATACACTGAATTAAATCAAATGGAAAAATATAACAACAGCACAATGACAAGTGAATATGGTACATGCAATAAAAGTTGTGTATTATAAAATTTTATTTGTGATGTTATAGAGTACGATAGTTTAACTTGTGATGTACAATCATTATAGGGAAGACGACAGCCTAAAATTTGCTTCCATTTCATAAAGAAAAGATCTCTACTTTTACAAATTCACAAAGTCACAAAAAACGTTATAACATTGTAATACTGAAAATTATCGGTTTCGTGAGAACTACACAAATGTATAAAGTTTCATTTGCTTTATTTTACGGAAGAGATATTTAACTATTTTCTGAAAACTTTCTATTTTTTGTATCGATGGATACAAAGCAAATACTTTTTCATTTTACGTGTTAAATTTAAACATGGAAGTAAATTTTGGAAGACATTTACTGGTATATCCAACCATAAACACGTTCTAGTTTTCCCTGTCCCCAGAAAAAATTATGATGAATTTTGGATGAAAACACAAACCGTGCTTCCCGACTAGATCGTATGTGTCATTTGTGATATCGTTTATTACCTTATTTTTCAAAGCGTTGTTACCACACTTATGAGCCCAAAGTATGGTAATAGCGATATACGACGTTTATGAGATTTGATACTTGTTTAGCGGTGTACTGTACGCTTATTTTAATGTAAATAGTTAATAAAAAGAGATATATGTTTCAAATCTAGTTTCCTTTCACTGCGGTCCATCAAAAACACGGCAAATATATAGGCCACCTGCTGATTCTCTATAATTATACATTATTACTAGGGCTGTCAGAGAGAGCCGCAATTCAATGGCGTACAATGCGTGTCAACCGAGACATGCGTGAGCCGTTGCCTCAGAATGCTTTCACGTTTACGTCACGTTAGTATACTGTTATCTTTGTTATCGTGAGGATGTTGCATAACTAATTCCTATCCTTTGATGTTATGGTGGTGTATTGTAGACATTTTAATTTCTTGCTGTTTAATAAATAATGCGTACGCATATGTCCCGCGGCTCAGTTCTTAAGCCTTAATTATTACCATTATGTTATTGTTATAACCACGTCTCTGTTTCTCCCCTCCCTTTCCACTATAGAATGTATTAAAAAAAGATCTCCTAAATTAAAACAGTTTATTAACAATGACCACAAAGTTATATTTAATGCTTTTTCTTAGTTCTTCCTACAATTTATTCTCTTTGTGCTAGCAGTTCTTCATCAGTTACCTTAAAACAAATAAAGGTAAAAATATATGGAAATCATGATTCACTTCAAATAAAATTTTTATTGTTAATATGATCAATATGCATTAAGAATGCATTTAGTGCCAAAAACTAAACTAGTATTGACGAATAATTTAAGATTGCTTTAACTTACCTTATTGTAAGAAATGGTCCATTTTCAGATTCAGCGAGTGTGTCTTTAACAAATCGTCTTACACGGGTCCCCGACGAACCACCACCAGACTCTTCTTCAGAAGAACTAGTTTCACTTTCTGACAGTAAGGGATCAAATTTGAGACGGAATTTGCTAAGTTCTGCACACAAACCTTTAAGAATATTCATAATTAATCGACAAAACAAATTATTCTGAAATGTCAGTAGGACTACCTAACTAGTAAACAAGTATATCTTTTTATAATGAAAAACTCTGTAGTAATCAGAAAAGTAGGTATACATATCTGTATTACAAATATAATCCTTACTATAAATAGCGCGATTTTTTGCCTTATATTTACTTAATGAGTAGCATTACAACTGAAGTTCTACTAACTTTCAAAATTAATTTTCTGTTTTATAAACTTTTTCTGGCAATAAAAGGAATTTGAAATTAAAATATTGTTGTTTTTTTTAGATTTATTAGAACAACTATTTAATATAAAGTAGGTACAAGTGAATTTGAGCAATTTTAACTTTAAATTATGATCAGAGAATTAGTAATTATATCTTCACTGTACGGTTGACCTATGATTTTCTTCTAAGCTCTTTCAGAAGAACCTCCACCTCCAGATGATTCACTACCAGCCGATCCTCCTCCAGAAGAACTGCTTCCGCCTTCAAAGTGGCCACCTGCCGATAACTGACCTTCAGATGAACCGATTAAATTACCAAATCCTCCTCCATCTAGCTTGATTCCAGATGAGGCACCAGATGCATCATCTTCTGTTAAATCATCCCGTGAGGACTCACTTCCAACAGAAATTACTCCAGACGAATCACCTTCCCCACTGGAACTGGAACTGGAACCGCCTTCAGATGAATCGCCTCCAACTGAAATTTGTCCAGATGAACTACCTTCAGAATTATCATCTCCATCAGAAGAGGCGCCTTCAGCGGCATCATCCTCCTGCTCAACTTCCTCTCCTGCGGAACTATCTTCCGATGACCCACCTCCTTCCGAAATTCCTCCAACTGATCCACCTTTCTCATTGGATCCAACTTCATCTTGCCCTTCGGAACCATATCCTGTTGACTCATTGCCGCTATCTGAAGATTCTTCATCTTCCTTTCCTGTTTCCTCATTTATTTCACCTTCACCTTCTCTCTCGGAAGAATCACCACCAGAAGAGTCTCCTTCAGAAGACCCATTTTCTGTTGACTCATTGCCATTGCCTGAAGATTCATCTTCTCCTGTAGTATCCGAAATTTCTCCAGATGGACCACTTTCTTCATTTGCACTACCTTCATCCTCTCCATCTCCTGATGACTCATTTCCGCTATCTGAAGATCCTCCCTCCTCTCCTATAGAACCACCTTCTTCATTTAAACTACCTTCTCCAGTATCAGAAGATCCTTCCCCTCCTGCAGGACCATTTTCCAATGACCCATCTCCTTCCGAAATTTCTCCAGACGATCCACCTTCCTCGTTTGAGCCACCTTCACCTTCTCCCTCGGAAGAGGCATCATCACCTTCGGGGGCTCTGTCCTCCGAGGAGCCGTCTTCTGTTGACTCGTTGCCACTGGCTGAAGATCCTCCGCCTTCCTCTTCTGTAGAACCATCTTTCGATGACCCAGCTCCTTCTAAACTTTCGCCAGATGAACTACCTTCATCACTTGATTCACCTTCATCTGCTCCTTCGGAAGAATCAATGTCAGAAGCGTCACTTTCAGAGGTACCGTCCTCCGAGGAACCATCTTCTTTTGATTCGTTGCCACTGTCTGAAGATCCTTCGTCTTCCTCTTGTGGAGAACCGCCTTCCGATGACCCAGCTCCTTCTGAAATTTTACCGGATGAACCATCTTCGTCACTTGATTCACCTTCACCTCCTCCTTCAGAAGAGTCACTGTCGGAAGAGTTACCTTCAGAGGCACTGCCCTCCGAGGAACCGTCTTCTGTTGATTCGTTGCCACTGTCTGAATATCCTTCCTCTTTCTCTTCTGTAGAACCGTCTTCTGATGACCCAGCTCCTTCTGAAATTTCGCCGGACGAACCACCTTCGTCACTTGAATCACCTTCGTCACTTGAATCACCCTCCTCTCCTCCTTCAGAAGAGTCACTGTCAGAAGAGTCACCTTCAGAGGTACCGTCCTCCGAGGAACCGTCTTCTGTTGATTCGTTGCCACTGTCTGAAGATCCTTCGTCTTCCCCTTCTGTAGAACCATCTTCCGATGACCCAGTTTCTTCCGAAATTTCCCCGGATGAACCACCATCATTTGAACTACTTTCATTCTCTCCCTCTGAAGATCCTCCTTCCTCTCCTTTATCTTCTTCCGAAATTTCTCCAGAAGATCCACCTTCCTCATTTGATCCAGCTTCATCTTCTTCGGACGAGTCACCGCCTTCAGAGGTAGCATCCTCCGACGAACCATCTCCTGATGACTCGTTGCCGCTGTCTGAAGATCCTTCGACTTCCCCTTCTGTAGAACCATCTTCCGATGACCCAGTTTCTTCCGAAATTTCTCCGGATGAACCACCATCATTTGAACTACTTTCATTATCTCCCTCTGAAGATCCTCCTTCCTCTCCTTCATCTTCTTCCGAAATTTCTCCAGAAGATCCACCTTCCCCATTTGATCCAGCTTCATCTTCTTCGGACGAGTCACCGCCTTCAGAAGTAGCATCCTCCGACGAACCATCTCCTGATGACTCGTTGCCACTGTCTGAAGGTCCTTCGTCTTCCCCTTCTGTAGAACCATCTTCCGATGACCCGCCTCCGTCCGAAATTTCTCCCGATGAACCACCATCATTTGAACTACCTTCATTCTCTCCCTCTGAAGATCCTCTTTCCTCTCCTTTATCTTCTTCCGAAATTTCTCCACCTTCCTCATTTGATTCAGCCTCATCTTCTTCAGACGAATCACCGCCTTCAGAGGTAGCATCCTCCGACCAACCATCTCCTGATGACTCATTGCCACTATCTAAAGACCCTTCATCTTCCTCTCCTGTAGAACCATCTTCCAATGAACCATCTTCGGAAATTTCTCCAGATGAACCACCTTCCTCATTTGATCCACCTCCATCTTCTCCTTCGGAAGGGCCACCATCACCGTCCTCCGATGAATCATCTCCCGATGACTCATTGCCACTGTCTGAATTTTCCTCATCTACTGAAGTTTCTTCTTCGCCTGCAGAATCATCTTCGTTATTTGAACCATCTTCATTATCTCCGTCGGACTGGCCACCGTCAGAAGATACTTCTTCGGAGGGATCTCCCTCAGAGGCACCATCTTCTGTTGACTCGTTGCCACCATCTGATGATTCTTCATCTTCTGGAGCTCCTCCTGAAGCGTCATTATCAGCTCCTGCATTGTCATCACCTTCCTGGTTGGGATCACCTTCAGAAGAACCATCTCCATCCTCCGATGAACCATTTTCTGATGAGTCGTTGCTAGAAGAATCAACGTCTCCATCTCCAAATGAATCGTTACTGGATGAATCACTACCAGAGGATGTTCCATCATAAAGTTTACCAGAAACCTCCTTTGCTTTGATACGGAGTTTAACAAGAGTTGCGCACAAGCCTTTAAGAACGAGATTAAAAAATATGACTTATTAGGAAAAACTATAGTTACTTATGCATTATCGACATTGTAATACGTAATTGTAATAAGTAAGTCAGTAAACTAAAGAGAGTACATATTCGAATTTGCTATTATTTTTTAATTTATTACAAGTAAATACTAATTTTCGTATATTATTTAATTTTTCATTACCTGTACATTCTCCACCTTCAGTAAGCTGATGTAAAGCATCTGTAAAAGCTAGGAAGACATTCAATACTCTTTCAAATATAGGTATGAAGAACTTCTGATTGTCAAGTACAATGCCACTAATGAAATTGCCAATTTCCTTACAATTCTGCATGATTACAATCATAAACCAGTTACGTATTTGATCAAATCCACCCTTGGCCTGTCTGAGTCCTGGAAGTTTAGTTAGTCTATCAAATATCTGCTGTATGTGTAAGAAATTTACAGCGCCATCGACTGCACCGCCGCCAATACTCAAGCCTCTAATCTGTAATTTGATTATGCCTCCTATGACACCAGAAATGATTTTTCTAATCCCGTTGACAGAGTTGAATCCTGTTTGAATGCCAAATATTTGGGTGCGCGCTGCTGTTCGAATAACCCACGATATTACGCCTAAAACATATACAATATATATCAGTAATATCAACATTTTTGTGTCAGAAAACAAGGAACAGAATAGAAATGTTTACTAGTGGAAGAAAACAAGACAATAACATAAGTTTAGCGAAATTGCACATACTTCTGACTCTTCCAATAGCTTTGGACGCTACATCAGCATTAAATGATCCAAAATTTAATGCAGTGTTCGAAACACGTTCTATCACTTTCGTTGCGGTAGACACTGCAAAGTTTCCTACTTTACTAGCTACAGAGGCAGGTAATCTAAGAGCTCGGAAATTCAGCGTAATAACAGACCAGAAAATCTTCGCATAAGTTTTAATTGCTGTCCTGGGCAGCGTTATAGGCAAACTGAATATCCTTTGTAACACGGACTTGATGTCTACTGATCCTTTGACTGAAAAGGATCCACCAGCACCTGGAGAAAAGAAGTTTAAATTTTACATGTGACCATATTACTTCAATAAATTATTTATAGAGATTATGAAGGAAGAAATTGAGAAATGCAAAAGCAGATTGCAATCATAAAAGTGAAAATTTTACATGGTGGTCTAAAATTTTGTTCTGATTTATCTATAAATCCTGAGTTTAATATTTTGATGCTAATATTAAACCAAAGAAGTGCACAAACTTTAAAGAAATGTTCTTTTCATGTTCCCGTATTTTCTTAAATTTTAATATAAATTACATAATAATTAATAGGTTAATTCAAAAAAAGCCTCAAGTTACACCAAAATCCAATACGAAATTATCATTTTCTTTTCTTAAATATGTTCTTTTAACAAAAAAAAATCACAGGGTTAAAACTTACTCCGGAAAGTGGCTGATCCCCGTATGTGGTAATTTATATAGTATCGTTTTGTGTAAGTATTACTGTACCAGAAGTGACTTGAGCATTCTCGAAACAAAAATATTTTTTTTTTTTTCATAAAATGTAAATGCCTATATCTCTGAAATGCTACATTTCCGGCATAAATTTTATATGGGCTTTTTATCGTATTTCTACCTAATGATTGTCTTTTTTTCTAAGTTTACACACTTCCTTGTATATCCACTCCTGTATATACAATTTTTTTGTCAGTATAAATTTATCTCTCGTATAAAATAATAAAATAATATCGAAACCTCCTCCTGCACTGGATCCTCCTCCACCAGATCCTCCTGCTCCACCAGATCCCTCTCCACCACCAGATCCTCCTTCTTCACCAGATCCTCCTTCTCCACCAGATCCCCCTTCTCCACCAGATCCCCCTCCATCTCCATTTGCCTCTCCTTCTCCTCCTCCACCTGTCAAAAACATTTACTTCTTTGCAACCTAGTTATTTTAAATAACGATTATCGATTATCTACTTACCACCGCTAACATCCCAACCGAATCCGACTGACCCTCCATTTCCATCTGACCAACTCCAACTTCCTCCATCGCCTCCTCCTCCCGGAGGGCATTCGTCTGGGTCAACACACCGTTTCTTTTTCTCGTCATATATCTGGTCATGTTCACAGTAACATCCTGGGTGTGGTACGCAAATAGGCGGAGGCTTGTGTTGGCACGTTGGTTGGCAAGGTGCTAAAACACCAAACTTCCGGGCACCACATATCCCCGCGCATTCTGAAATATTTTTATTACTTACATCAGGGATAATAATATAATGGCCACCCCCTCAAGTCAAATTTAAACTTCTAAAATTATTTATCTAATGTTTTAAAGTTTACATACTGGGGATGTACGTAAAACGTAGAAGACCAATTTATACTACTACATTTAACATAAACATATAACTAAACTTTATCGATTGCGAAAATTTATGAAATACAAAATAAATCTTGAAATTATACGTTTAAAAATAAAAGCAATTTAATTTTTTGTTTCGTGGAGATGCAGCTAACGTTGAAATACAGAATGCTTTCGTTAATTTCGTGTTTATTGCTTTTAATAATTAGACCCACAATATCCAAACAGCTAAGATCGTTCGTCAGCGAAACCACTAGAAGCAGAATGGTTTCATAATCCCTACAAATTTCTCTCTATAGAGAGACTGATATACCAGTAGGTATGTACAAAGCAATGCTTTGCCAGTTAACGTTGAGTAACAATGACAAGATATAACATATATGGCTATATATCACCCACAATTCCTGAAATATTTACTTGTTATTTTGAAATATTACATATTGTTAAGTTGTTATACCTATTTTTTGTTCTTGGCATAAATCTATGGTTTTTTCGATTGGGTGAGGTTGACAAAATGGAAACTTTTAGAAGCCAATAATATCGTAGCAGTGAAAAAGTAAACTGTGATTACTCACTCTATATCTACAATTTGCCATTATCTAAAAAGAAAAACATGGAAGAAATATTAAATGGGAAATACGCAGTACTATAACCAGCACTTTATTAAAGAAAGAGAAAGAATAACGCTAAGTAACGCTTTTGATTTCGACCGAACCTTTATTCTTCTTGACTGCCTAATTTTATAGGTGTCAAAATTTCAGAGCATCCACAAGAAAATATATTTAAAATTTGCACTGTTGCAAGCGTCTTTCATTTCCTACTTACGAATTTTAATTGTTGGAAATTATTTCAGTATCTTATTCGTTGCCTGATTAAGCAAATCTTACCTATTCTTTGCCCAATCGAAAGTTGGTGGAACTGGCCGTTAGAAAAATATAATAAAATTAAAAACAGAAATAACAAAGCTGTTAAAATATTTAAGAAATTGACAAAATAGTATCTTGTCTGGAACATCAAAATAATGTACGGAGAAACTACTTAATAATTTTAAAACATACTACAAAAGCTAAAAACTGTTCAGATGAACGTTATTTTCTCCAAGTTAACTAAAACATATAAAGCTAATTACCTGAACCTTTCCATATTGCCCACCCTTCCTTTACGAAGTTAAATAAATTACAAAAAAAAATTAATATCGTGCATCGATTAGAATCGTTGTTATAACAATGGTCATGGCCAACTGTGCAAGAATTATGTTTTTATCAGAATGTTACTGAAAATATTTAAATACTCCTACAGTGTAGAAGGTGTAGAAGAAAATAAAAAAGGTTATCCAAAAATGTAAAAACTGAAAATAGCATATATAAGAAAAAGTGAATATCTTTAATTTAACCACCCTGAATACACCTAGTTTGAAAATTTTAGTTTTTTAATAAAACATTCTTTATTTTGATATTATACTTTCTTTTAATGTTTCTACTTGATTTGAATGAACTGAAACTAGTCAGCAAATGCAATCAATAATAATGTTGACATTCTATAGCTGAATGTCTCAAAACGAAATAAAAACATATACCTACCTTACTTTTACCAATAAAGAAGATTTTTCTGTAAATCGAAAACAAAAAACTAAAATCATTGCCTCTTTTATTAGTTTTCATTATTGTTAATTTTTATTCTGTTAAAAAAAAACAAATTATACTGGGAACAGTAGCAGCGAATTTCTAGAATTCACTTTTACACGTTTTTGTTACTTCTGAACTGAAACAAATTAGTAAACCAACAATGTAACAGAAAAGAAAACAACAAAAGAATAAGTAAAAAGTAACAAAAAAAAGTGTGGACTCCAATATATGGGTACTCACCAGAGTAATGTAAGGAGCATACTACAAATATAAATACGAGGACTACGTTTTTTAACATGTTGGAACCATACGAGGAACTAAACAGTTCTAACGTTCCTGCGACTATCGTTTCAAATAAATGCTTTTAAATACAGGTATCCTAATAGATAAGACATATCATTGTAATTATTTTCATTTAAACAATTATTTTTTAAAGGGTAGTAATGGTCAATTACTTATAACTTCAGTCAATAAGCTGATAAAGTAATATGCGCAAAGGATAATTGCAAATTATCGGGTTATCGTAGCTTTCCTATATCCTGAATTTGTTGATTGCAATAAAGAAAACTATTAAGCTATTATAATAAGTATATCCATTAAAAATATATACCTATGAGAATTCCTTTCTTATTTCGATGTATAACTTTTGCAATTTACAATTTCGTAGACCCCAAAAATGGCATGGGCATTAACAAATGAAAGAAAAGTAATTTAAGCTTGCTACACAAAAATTAATTTAAAAATAATTGAGTATACGAATGTAAATAAATAGCTAGGTATTTAGAACAAAATGAAGCAAAACCAAAAGTTTTATTGACTTTACGTAACAAAATGTAATAAATATACAGATGAAAAATCAACTTAAACTATTACTAAGCTATTATAATTTGTTAAAAAAGTTTTGAAATAAGTTACTTAGACCCAGTCAACCATAATACACCTTCAATTGGGGATTTTGTACCTGTCTAGTGTCAATGGTAAGTCGTATTTAAAAGTATTTTTCATATTTTCCTGATAATGAAATAAAACAGTTAAATGTTAAATATATCTAGTTATAAAACTTTTAGAAATTTCGTAACTCTCAATCTTTGAATATTATTCCTTGATCTTTGATCCGATAAATTTCTATAAGAATTCTTAATATTGTCTTGTTTTAAGTGCACTTTGCTTTTCATGAAGTTATTTCTTGTGATGTTTATAGAGTTTAAGTAATACCTAATTCTACAGCTATGAACAATTACTAGAAAAAGTTTAATAATCGTATAGGTAGGCATTAATATATACATTATTATCACATCGAAAAAAAGTTTGATAAGAAATAATTTATTTCCTTTGTTTTAAATAACCTTGTATTTAATAATAATTAACTTATGTCGTTTAAATAAAAAATGTGTTATTAGGTGATTTTGTTTTAAAAAATATTTCAAAAAATTATTAGTGCTACGATTCATATTAAACATTAATATATTTAAAATATGAACATATATATTATATGTATTGTTAGTTTTCCTTAATTTTTCTTAGATATTTGAAAATATAATCTAAAATTAATATGGATTGGCCATTACGCCAAAGTTGTATGCAACCTACATTACATTAATTCTCTCATATATGTAGTTGCGGGTTGCGTCCTACCGAAAACTCCCGACATAACGAATGTGATAATCATAAACACGAGGCCACGGAAGCTGTCATGAAAGTTCGCGATAAGCTGTGTCACCAGAATATCATGTTGCCCACAAGTAAATCGTTTTGTACAGTGTTTTACGTTTTTAAAAGTCCATCAAAATGAAACTGGTTGAAAGAAACATGGATAAAGAGGGTGAGGGGTAAGTAATTAAAGGCAATTTTTATCTGTTTCGGAATTGAGGTTATGCTCATATTTAACACCTGCTGTAAATTTGATTAGAACCTTATACAGTAATTATATTTTTGTTTATTATAAATGACGGACGAAATGTAATATTAATTGACACATTTTTTTAGCCATATAGTCCTCATCCCAGAAGAGCCTGAAGATATGTGGCATGCTTACAACCTCATATCTGAAGGGGATTCAGTAAGAAGTACCACTATTCGCAAGGTACAAACTGAATCTGCCACAGGCTCTTCATCTTCCAATAGAGTAAGAACAACCTTAACAATATCCGTAGAGAATATTGACTTTGATACTCAGGCATGTATGCTAAGGCTGAAAGGGAGGAATATCGAAGAAAACCAGTATGTAAAGGTAGGAGCCAAACAGATTTAATTTCATTTTAACTCTTATGAATTTCTAATACTTTTCTATTTTAAAACATGATACGCAACTTTTAGATGGGCGCATACCACACTTTGGATCTAGAATTGAATCGCAAATTTTCACTGAGGAAACAGTATTGGGATTCCATTTCCTTGGAACGTATCGATACAGCTTGTGACCCAACGAAAACTGCAGACGTTGCTGCAGTTATAATGCAGGAAGGTTTGGCCCATGTCTGTTTGATTACACCCAGTATGACTCTCATCAGAGCCAAAATTGACGTTTCCATTCCGAGGAAACGGAAAGGATTTGTGCAACAGCACGAGAAGGTTTGTAGTAAAAAATTACTGATGAATTTCACAGTAGTAAATTCCAATTTTTCTAGGGGTTAAATAAATTTTACGATAATGTTATGCAAGCTATTTTGAGGCACGTGAACTTTGACATAGTTAAATGTGTATTGATCGCCTCTCCAGGTTTTGTAAGGGATCAATTTTACGAGTACATGTTTCAAACAGCAGTCAAAACTGATAACAAGGTCTTACTGGACAACAAATCGAAGTTCATGTTAATCCACTCGTCTTCAGGCTTCAAACACTCTCTCAAAGGTAAATACATTGTATTTAGTTTTTATTTTATTTTTTTTAGTAGTACCTTGTTGATATTAAAAATTAAACAATTATAATACAAATTGGTAATTACTTCATCACAATTACGTATAGTTTAGTATAATCTTAATCTGATGCAAGTAAATTGTGTGAAAAATGTTTGCATCTCTATTAAACAAATTTAAATAAAAGATGTTATCCTAGTCACAAAAATTAGAAATTTTTAAAATTTAATTTTTTTTTTAAATTAAACAATTTTAATACAAATTGGTAATTACTTCATCACAATTACGTATAGTTTAGTATAATCTTAATCTGACGCAAGTAAATTGTGTGAAAAATGTTTGCATCTCTATTAAACAAATTTAAATAAAAGATGTTATCCTATTCACAAAAATTACAATTTTTTTTAATAATAAGAAAATTTTGGGAAAATGACAGATTCATCAGATTTTTACTGTATTAATTAACCACACCAATATAAACAAACTACCCAAATCAATCAAACTAGACAAATATTTAAATTAAGCAAATACAAACACAAAATATAAATCATAAATGTAACTTCTGTGAAAATTTTATTATCAAATTATGAAACGGTAGTTTTAGTGTTGAAGTACTTATCTGGGCAATTTTTGACAAGTTGGCCTAGTTTTTCGTTTCAGTTCCCTTAGTTATTTTAAAAATGCCAAAAATGAATTTGAATATTCCCAATTGATATAAAAACTATTAGCATGTGAATTATCTTAATATATTATTTTTTTTGGAATTTTTACAATTATTTCTGATATTCTCTATTTTTGGGAATGATTCCACCCCCTGAGTGTGCTTAAGGGTGGATTTTCTAATTCAACATGCTTATTTCAGTCATGAGAATAAATCTTTCTCTATATCAAGAATCATTCACATGCTAATAGTTTTTATATTTATTGGTAATATTCAATTCTTCATTTTGGGCATCTTTTCAACCCTTAAATAAGAGTAATTCTTGAACATTTTCAAAAAACTAAAAGCTATGCTCGTCTTAATTTTTTACGACGAGTAATTTGAGACCAAAAACAATTTTTTATCTATTTTCTTTAGTTCTTTGTGAATTGTGAAAAAACGGGCGATTTTTGCTGTCACTCTTTGAGTGCAAATTAAAATAAAAAATTGGTACCTTAATATGAATTTTTTTCTTGATCTCCTTAAAAATTTTCAAAAGTATCCGGATGCCACCTAACGTTACTTGCTGACCCCTGTTATAAAGGATAACACTGACTATATTTATTTCACTGGTTCAACTGTACTGAAAGAAATTTAATTCAGTTCAGTGAATTAATATTTAGCAAATAAACAGCACAGATTTAAATTGCTGTCCGATACAGATTCTCATTCAATCAGACTGACATAAATTTAAATATGTACTATTTCTTAAATTTCAGTCCATTATCTTCAACCGCAAGTCCTTTTCAAAGCTAACTTAAAATTCTAACTCGACAGTTCACATATGAACAATACAAAGCAAATTTAGAATATTACGCTCTTAGGTGCAAGTTAAGTTGTTTTCAGTGATTACTTACTGAACTACAGAACATCACTGAACTGAGTAACCTGCACCGAATTGCACAGTTTTCTATATTGTTTATTAAAGTCCAAATCTGTCAACGGTCGGAGAGTGAACAGCCCCTGGTTCTTTTTTTTATCAATGCTACTAGCACAATGCATCAAAGAGTGAATTTATAGGTACTATGAAAGCATGATTAGTGTCGCACTAGTCGATTAACTAATGATATTATGGGAAACAACTACTCTGCGGACTATAGCCCTATCCAGTATTGAATACACTTATGTACCCGTTCCAGTTATATATTGCCAGCCAAGGCAATTGAGCTGTAATGATAGGTTGTGCGCATTGGCCACGTATAATTTTCAGTCAACGGAGTGCTAGTCTTGGTTTAGTTATCGAAGTGTAAATATCATGAATACAAGGGAATTATTTAAAAAATTGTATACATTTGAGAATTAGGCAATGCCTTAATAACAATACATATAAATAGTCAATACTCAAATGCCTATATGCAGATATAATTTATTAATATATAATACAGTTGCAGAAAATTATCTCCTATTTAATACTTTACACTTGCCTAAACAAAACTAAAAAAATTTATTTTATTTGAAGACCTAGCGAGTTTACCAAGTCCTGTGTTCTAACAGCAGAGTGATTTAGTTATGCTGGTCTATGTCTGGTAATTCTAGTGATGAACAATCTTTAGTCTCTGCAGGTGTAATCCAATAATACTGAAAGAGGCTGTAATCCGCAGAATTGTTATTTTCTACAGTATCATTAGCGAATAATTAAACAAAAGTTTTTGAAAGCACCATGCAGCTGGCATTTATCTTTAACATGTAATTAGAGGAGAAACATTTATTTTAGAATCTGTTGGACTTTTTCACTTTCAAGTGATATACACTATGATTATATAATTCATTAGAAATTCAGCCAATAGCAATTACAAATTTTACGTAGTTACTATGTATTGATAAGCGATTATACTCTTGACGACGTGGTACAACCGTTTTGGTGTTTCGCCTCCTCCAACAATGTGAATTATGTCATGGTAACGATAGTTTTAACATTTGTCAATAAACGTCTAAAAAAAAATGGAACGCTTCGGTTCAAGCTCTGAATTGGAAATCAATCAACAAATAGAGAATCTAACTCCCCAAAATACTTTAAAAACGCACAAATATGTCTGGAAGCAGTTTACTGAATTTTGTGAACAGCGAAATTATAAACTTTCTGCTCAAACTTCTGAAGAATTGGCAAGTATCTTGAAGAATTGGGCATTCAACATCAACTAGTAACCAATAAAGTTAGTTAATTCATTATGTAATCGTATCGAATACCACTCGAGCAAACGAAAATATTCTATTATGCTAACCTCCTCACTCGACGTATATCCTTAAAACACCACTCCAGCTATGCTGTCGTGGTGTTTCGCAGAATACGTCTCGTGACTCGGAAGTATAATTGAATATTTTCTATGCTCTTGTGATATTATAACTGATTATAAAAAGCTAAATCAAACTCTCTATCTAGACATTTTCTGTGAAAGTGAACTGTTATGAACTTCACTAAAAACAAAATTAAAAAATAAAAAGTTCTCAGGAGCAGATAAATGTTCTTAATCAAATATGTTTTAAAATGTATTAACCTCTAACGTACCTAATAAATTTCTCTTTTCAAACTAGTATCTTTCCTGAATTATTAAAAGATATTACCTGTTTAAAAAAAATAATTGTGTGTCGGTAGAAAACTATAGACCTGTCACAGTTCTTCTTACCTTTCCAAGTATTTCAATATACTTACTTGGATCCTCTGAATATCTTAAATTTTCCTTCGAAATTATCCACCATAACTGCTACAAATTCTTTTTATGAAGAAGTCATTAGAGGTATTTGGTGAAGGCTCTATCGGTATTTTCTATGATCTTTGTAGTGTTTGCATTCAATCATGATCAAACATGAGCAAACTTTATGGTAATGGCATAAGAAATGTCTTGCTATATTAGCAAGTTTTATGAAATATCCAAAGCAATAATACAACTTGTTTCTTCTGATTCTATGAAAATAGTCACTTCTGATTCTTGCTCAGTTGAAATGGACGTACCATAAGGTTCATCCTTAGGACCCAAGGTTTTTTTTCTCCATATGAATTCAATATAAAATTTATTAAAAAAAAACAGCTTTAACTATGTATACCGACGATTTGACTGATATTAATAAAATTATACAAAAAGTGTGTATATGTGTATATTATACAAGATATGTGTAGTCAAAATTGCCTATATTTGAATGCAAATAAAAAAGCAATTATTCTTTCATACTAGACAGAAGAAATGAGTAAATTTGCACAAATTAAAGGCGTAACAGATAATTTGTTCTTCGTGAATAGTTTACAGGCACATATCTAGTCCCACTAATGCTTTATGTCTTTTTCATAAATATGTCTGTAAGAACTTTGTTTTTAGAGGTGCTTCAAGATCCCGCAGTAATGGCCAAAATCTCCGATACCAAAGCCGCAGGGGAGGTGAAAGCCTTGGAAACTTTTTACACTATGCTTCAGTGTGAGCCTGCTAGAGCTTTTTATGGCAAGAAACATATCGAGAAGGCTAACGAGGCACAGGCCATCGAGACCCTGTTAATTTCCGATAATTTATTTAGGTAGGTTAAATAGTTTCATATCAAACATAAAGCATAAATATTGATTGATAACGTCCCAGTTAACGAATAAATTTGTAATCTGAAAGGATAAAATCTGGTGATTTTGTCGGCCATATGTTCACAACACTAAAAATACTTGCAGGTGTCAAGATGTGAACCTTCGTAAGGAATATGTAAGAATAGTAGAGTCAGCACGGGAATACGGTGGAGACGTTAAAATATTTTCCAGCTTGCACATCTCGGGAGAGCGTATGTATTTTTTGTTTTATGCAGCCTAAATTTTTTCCATATATACCTTTTTTCTTGGGTTCTGTTAGTTACAAAGTTTGTCGTTTCTAGAATTAGAGCAACTGACTGGAGTAGCAGCAATACTGCGTTTCCCAATGCCGGAACTCGAAGACGAGGAAAGCGATGAGGATTAGACAGTAATGTTTATTGATTTTTAAGTCTATTGACTTATAGGAATCATGGCATTGTATTATTTACAATTAAGTTGTATGGGTACACACCAATTCTAGGTTACATTGTTATTTTAATATATTAAGTGGTAAGTGAAATTTTAGGACAATTGTTGTTATACTTTTTTTGTTTTATACCGCAGTGTAATTTATACGTGTATATTTTCAAGCTAAGCAGTGTACGCTAAATTGTGCTAATTTATTTATATATGATGGAAGATACTAAACAAGCGATTTTATCAAATTTATATTAATAAAGGCAAATTATACAACTGTGTTTAATCTTCCCTTCATGTTTTCTGTTTTTGCACTTTTTTGGCTGATTTCGGCACTTTAGTTGCTTTCTTTTGTGTTTTTTTAGTTTTCTTCTCGTCCGTCTGTTTCTCATCATGTAGCCTTCTCTTCTTCCTCAATAACCAGATTTCCTTGGCTCTCTCCTTTCTTCCCGCCATCATGCTCTTGTACAGCTTCTTGTGTTTGTTCTTTATCATCTTCTCTCTAAGACGATACTCCTGCTTCTCTTGCCTGTTCTTTTCCCATGGGACTTCCTTGTAAATTTCACCCTTACTGACAGACAACTTGGGTTTCTGAATAAAAAAAAAAACTGCTTTTATCTGTCTCAATTTTGGTATTAGTAAAAAATAATAATGTGATACAAATAAAAATTATTACAAAAAAATTGACTTACTTTTTCTTTGTTTTCATCCTCATCCTCTTCCTCTGTTTCATCCTCGATTAACTCCGTTTCCTCTTCTTCCTCTTCCTCAACCTCTTCCTCCTCTTCGCTCTCGTTGCCCTCTTCAATCTTTTCGTCCTTCCTGTGCTGTTCCTCCAGCAAAGTTGGATCGTACAGAGCCCTTTCTTCCGGCGGAATATACAATTGGTCCCTCTCCTTATCAGTAAATGGTGAGAGATGTGGGGGTAATACTTCACCCATGAAGTATTTGTTAACTGGCAACAGTTGCCTTACGTTGACACTATCGAAGACCCATTGAGGTTGAATGTAATACCTTAAAAAATTAGTATGTAACAGTCTTTTACAATATGCAGTATTTTTTTTTTGAAAGTGACAAAAATATGAAGGCAATAAACTATTAAGTAAATATTATTTCATTTTGTCATTATTGGTATATGTATATTTCTAAACTGGTATTAAAATTGAATCATTATCATTTTTATAACGCGTTTATCAATATCTGCATAAAAATTTCACTTGTCTTAAATAATTTACTCAACACGGTGTTTCTATTACATCATTTCGAATAAATAAAATTACATATTTTGTTGCAACAGTTAATGGTTTATGTTTCTGCAGTTTTGAAAAACAAAAAAGACAAGTTGTCCAAAGGTCTACTACTGTCTACTTTTTCAAATTTTATACAAATTTCAACATATCCATTTTTTCTATAATACATTGTAAACTTATCTGATCCTTTTTTCCATTTTCAAATCTTGAGTATTTGCAATCATATAGATATTTTTTATACAGTGTTTTTAAATGAAGTAGCAAAAATGGTACCAGTGAATGTAGAGCCAAAAATAAGAGAATTGAAGTAAAAATACCTTATATGAAGTTGCACCCCTTAGGCGATATACCCTCTAAAAGGAGGGGATTGAAATTCACATTTTAATTTTTTTCTTTAACATGAGGAATGCTATACTCCACGGTCGAAATTATAGAGAGTGATTCATGGCTAGCTTTTGGACTAGTAAGGGGGATGAAGCGTGCCGGGAACGAAAATCCATTGGCGTGTCTGCGTAAAAGGCAACAAGTTATAGAAAATAATGCTATATATATGTTTTTCCCTTTTCATTCACATGTACTTTCATTGCTGTTGAACATAAACACTGTATTGCTGTAAAGTGAATGAATAAAAATTATTATTATTATTATTATTATTATTAATGAAAAAAGATAATAAAACATAACATCTAATATTTTTTACGGTTTGCTATAACAGGGACTTTGATCCATTTTAATTATTATAGCATTTTAAAACGTCCCAATTGTGTTTTTTTAATTTATAAATTTATTATAGCCATGGAATTAGACCCCTCGTCTACGCTTATGCTATGATGTTTCTCAGGACGGGTTAAATCAAGTCCGTTTACACCCACTAAAAAAGCATTTCCCTATTCCCTACCAAGTGCAAAAAATAGAGATATAATATAGATCGACATTCAGTGTAACTCGGTCTCTACACGATTATAGATTCTATCGATATGCGCATCGAGCGGCACAAAGATAAATAATATTGAACCGTATAAAAATCATTTTATATTTTATACACATTATGGTAATAGTGTTTTTATATTATGTCTTAATCACTCTATAATTTCGACCGCGGAGTATAGAGACACGAAACTTGGTATGAGCATCCTACTAATAAAGAGACAACTTTTAAATATTTGTTCGATCATTGGAGTAAAAGGAGTGAAACAGGCAACCCCATTGCAATGTTTTATTAGAAATTTTTTATATTAGGCAAATTATTTATTTAAAAATATTTATTGAGAAGACTGACTTATTGCGCAACTTTTATACCTCTTGTAATTTTTCGATAAAAGCGATAGTTTTAGTAAAAAAATTAAATGCGTCATCGTTCACTAAAGGAGTAATGAGAAAATTTGTAAAAATAAAGTAGGCAGATGTCATAACAAATAAATTGTTATTTATCATATTAATAAATTGACACTTTATGTCAATAAGCTGGTAATTTAATAATAACATTAAGAATAATTTGCTATTAATTAATGAAAAATGTTTGATAACTTATGACTATGGCACATATGTATTAGGTAAAGTTATTTATCTGAAATAAAATTTAATACAAACGAAAAACAAGAAATGCAAAATTAAATTTAAAGAATATTCTCGAAATAATTTTCATTTTGCTGCAAGGATAACCTAATACGTCTGTTGAAGTTATAGCGCACTCGCACAAACAGTTCTTGGTTATTGCGAAGGTCATCTGTTGCCTGAAATATTCTTAAGCATAGTTCTTCTAAGGAGGCAACAGGAGTGGCATAAATAATACTTTTTATACGTCCTCACAAAACGAAATCCATAGGCGTTAGGTCAGGTGAACGTGCAGGCCAACAAACAGGGGCATCATGACCAATCCAGCGATTCGGATAATTTAAATTTAACAATTCTCTAACGGCAAGTGTACTATGTGCAGGCGTTCCATCGTGCATATGCCATATCACCTGACGTGTAGCGAGTGGTACATCCTCAAGTAATGTTGCAAGATTTTCATTCAAAAATCTAAGATACTTGGCCGCTCCAAGCCTGTGTGGAATAATAAAAGGACCTACTAGAGGATTTCCTACAATTCCCATCCAAACGTTTGAACTGAAATTATGTTGACATCTTGAAACAAATATTTCATGAGTATCTTCTTCCGACCATGAATGAACATTATGAAGGTTTACTGCACCTACTCTAGGAAAATTTGTTTCATCGGTGAAAAGTATATTCATTAGGAAATTTAAGTCATGCCTGAAAATATTAATGTACCATTGACAAAAATGCATGCGGTTAGGTAAATCAGGGCCATTCAATTCTTGCACGGATTAATGGTGAAAAAGGTATAAAAGATTTTCATGAGCTACATTCCATACAAGACTGTGAGAAACTTGCAGTTGCCTGGACACCTGTCTTGTGCTTGTACCACAGTCTTGTTCTAGATGTTGCAGTATAGCTTCCTCAGTTTCAACAGTTCGGACATAACGCCTTCTTCCGACACCTTCACGATTGAGCTGTATTTTACCAGTTTCGCGAAGCCTTCTTTCCACCGAGGCCAATGTTTGTCTATGAGGAATCGATCAGTTTGGATATCTTTGGTGGTATAATCTTACTGCAGCGTTACTATTTTTTCTGGATTCGAAAAACACTTGGAGCATGTCGACATATTCGTCATTGGTATAAATATTATTTGTCATAATTATTCAGATAATAAATTAATCAATTGGTACTAATTATTGGTTGACAGAAAGTGTCAATTTATTAATATGATAAATAACAATTTATTTGTTATGACTTCCGCGTACTTTATTTTTACAAATTTTCGCAATTACCCCTTTAGTGAACGATGACGCATCTAATTTTTTTACTAGAAAACTATCGGTTTTATCAAAAAATTACAAGAGGTAAAAAAGTTGCGCAATAAATCAGTCTTCCCAATAAATATTTTTAAATAAATAATTTGCTTCGTATAAAAACTTTCTAATAAAATATTGCAATGGGGTTGACTGTTTCACTCCTTTATAAAATACGCCAATGATCAAACAAACATTGAACAGTTGTCTCTTTATTAGTAGGATGATCATACCAAGATTGGTGCCTCTAGCATTCCTCATGTTAAAGAAAACAATTAAAATGTGAATTTCAATCCCCTTCTTTAAGAGGGTATATCGCCTCAGGGGTGCAACTTTCATATAAGGTATTTTTACTTCAATTCTCTTATTTTTTGCTCTACATTCACGGGTACCATTTTTGCTATTTCATTTAAAAACATCCTGTATATTCTATAAATACCTTGAAATATACTGTTTATCCATCGATGGCCTGTCGACGATTTGGTGAGTGATCGATTCGTCATTTTCATCAAAAGTTGAGCCCACAAAAAGCGTTTTATCCCAAGATACCTCACCACCAAAACACCTTATAATAAACACTAGTGGTTCCCTAGGAACTTCCCTGTTTAAGTAAAACTTTAAACCCTTGAAAAGAGTTTTGAGAGTCCTGATATTCTCGGCTTCCTTCTTTGCTTCTTCAATTTTCTCCGCATTTTCCTCGCCTGTTTGGAAACTGTCTATTTCTAAATCCTCGTCTATTGGTTCGTTTGATGTTTTCGATACGGCGAAATTCAAAGCTGCTACTCGTTCTGCTACAAAAGCGTCTTCATCTACTAAAGACTTTTCACTATCTGCTCGTACCGTTGACGACAATTTTGGAGGGTAAAACAAATTTAAACTGTGATAAATTTTAAAGTTAACAAATCCCAACATAACGGTGTAAAACTCGACAAAAGTCGACATTATTTTAAAGTCAACCTCGGCCTTACTTTGTGGTGTAAATGAAAAGTGGTGTGGTACTATCCACGTTATCGTTTGTCCTTTAATTTCAGCCTGATAGTAATACCCTTTAATCGATATGAAAACTTTTCTTAACGCTCTTGCTTCAATAATGGCATGCAAGAACTCGAGAGTAAGTCTTCTACACAGTGCTGATTGATCTCTTGGTACATGAGCTAGAGATGGGAATGTGCTGAATAAGAAACACAATGTTAAACAGTCGTCCAAATCCCTTAAAGCATCAATGAATGTTGGGTACCGTTCTTTCACTATGTGATCTAATTGCAATGTTGGATGGTTATTTAAATATATATTTAGCTTCTCAAAATCTCGCACCGCCCTAGCGCGTCCCACTTTCTTATTAAAAATCTTATAATCACGTAATTTCCAGATTATAGGTTCGTGTAACAAGAACTGTATATCCTTCACATGGTACAGTGTTCTAATGCCAGCCTTCCCTTTCTGAGCCCTTTTCCGATTCCTAGGTTCTCTTGGATATATTCCTTTTAAAATGCATAACTTCCTGAAGTCATTTAAAGAAAGTTGTAACTTTTTTAAAGCAGCTTTTCGTGTCATAAATTGGGCCCCCTCTCCAGTTGAATACTGTTATGAAAATGAAAAATAAATTGAATTATCACATACAAAGTAAAATTTCGATACATTACCTTTTTCTTGCGTTTAGAAACCATTTTTCTTAATTATGTCCTAGTTATTGTTAAAAACACGTGTAGCTTTTAGAGGTTAAGTTTTTGAAGGAATGACAGTAATTTGACAATTGATATATGTAAGGTCAGATAATATGCAGCCAGATAATAGAATTGCTGTAATGTGGGTCACTAACATATAACAATTATTGGTCAATCTAGCTTTCACTTTAAAAATTGAACAATTATTTATTTGTTGACAATTTTCACCCCACTTAAAGTAGTTTTATTTAATTAGCGCTTACCGCCGACTTCCTACTTAATTTTCTTTCCAAAACAGTATACTGCACACCTAAGAATTACCAGTGATACAGGGTATTACACGTTTTCTTTATTTCAACATTATTTTCCTGTATAAATAAAATAAGATATTATTACCCATTTAACCATAACGAATTCTTTCTAACTTATAATTTAGCAATCAAATTAGTTCCTCCACTTACCAAATAAGTGATCTGTTTCAATAGCTATGATTGCAAGCCATATCTAGAATTATTTCAAGTTTTGAGCATTGATTAGAATACACACACATCATAAAAGTGGATGTCGATATAACGCAGTGTTTTATTAGTGTATCAGTTTGAGTCGAAGAACATTACCAATATGTTGTATTTTGTTTTGTTGGGTGTCTCATTCTTAGCGGCTGCAGTTGAAGGGTAAGTTATTTCAATTTTTTTCAACATATTTCCTTAGTAAAGTAGAAGTAGCTTCCTCAATCATATAAAAATGTGAAAAATATGTTAATTTTTTTTAAATTTATTTTTTGAGAGATTGTACTTTTGGCAAAGATGGTAAACAAAAAATGGAAATTGTACAACCGCCAAAAATTTGAAAGATTGATTTTTTAATTATTCCAAGTGGTGACAATATGTTCCAATTTGAAGTTTTCTTTCAACTTTTACATTAGAAAGCTTCTGTGATTTAACAATAAAATCCATGTCTGTCGCTTTTTAAATACGGTAGTGTTATGGTAATTCAGATCTGGCGAGCATTGAACCTAAATTTTTATATATTATGCTATAGCTATAGTAATTACACGGATTACAGTGTTGTTTTATATACAACTTAAAAATACTAATCGTTATGTTGAATTCTTAAACCAACAGATACATTAAAACCGTTACAGATTTAGTTCCTAAACGTAAATAGGTACCTAGCATTCCTAATGTACTGCTTGCTGCTGTATAACAACCGTTTTTGAACTGCAAATACTAAAAGGCAAATATACATTATTTCCGCTATTTTTTGTATTGAACTAGGAGTAGTATTCATATAGATACCTTCCTGATCCATATAGGTACCTCTTTGAATCCATTGCCAAATAACACTTTATTTACTTATATTCCTATTAATTTTTGGTATCTATAAGTACATAAACGATGTACTTATACATAATCTTATCATGATCTTATCCAAGAATATCTGTTAAACCAACAAATTATAGATATTTAAGATTGTGTCTTTTTTTAATGTTTGTATCTAAATCAGGACATTTTATAGATAAAATATTCAAATTCAACATAGTTACCAAATTAATCTACTAAAATCACGCAAATAGACCCTGAAAAGTAACAAATTTCAACGATATATATTTTATATATAGGTACTAATATACTAATTTATTTTTATCATCAAAATAAGATTTTTTTACAAGCTGTTAAAGATTTTTGAATTCATGTGGTTTGTTGAACTCGGTCATAACTTCCTATCAATTTCGTATTTCAGAAAATATTTTTATCAATTATTGTTAGCGTTTTTTTCCATGACCGTTGAACGAAATTGCATTTTTTTCCAATTTTATCCTTTCAGCAGTCCGTTCCGGTTTGCACAAATTGAAGTGTGTATTACATGCTCCGGTTTTGCTATGAATGTATATTTGCTTTCATTGTTCTATTATTAATGTCAAGGTTTCTTTTCAAAGAAGAAAAACGACATGCCTAGGGCCATTATTTGCATTAAGCAGTGTATACACAGGTACCGCTCACATAATGCATGACGCCTACCATTTTTTTATTCTTTAATTACCGTAATAATTAATAATAGATATTTATGTTCGTTATTTCTTATCAACATTTACTGTGGTAAAGTATGGGGTTACCTTCGATTTTAAATACAATATATATTTCTTACATTGACCCCAACGTTCATTTAGTTTTTGAAAAAATGCTTTCTTTTACCAATTTTAATCAAAATAAAACACGTATTATACTGCATAAGAAATGCACGTATTCAATTTAGTTAAAAGAAACTTTCTACTTGCAGTGGTTTTTTATACGACAAAAAAATACCGTTTTAATAGTTGCATTTTGAAAGGACCAGTAAATGGGTTATTAAATTTGTTTATTGTAACAAATTCGTTTAATTCCGTTCTACGAAACGAATTATTATCGTTTAAGGTTTTAGATTTTTTTTCTTGCTGAATTACTTTATGGGTATATTGTGTTTCCAAGTCCGTGTCATAAGTTCAGGGGGTTATTTCTTGTATGTTTTTAGACCAAGGTTCTAAAGCCACTTGTTACAGGGTGTTGAAATTAATAAAAATATATCACATTCGTTGAGATATCTCAGATGTTTGGTGTAGATAGACGAAACTTGGAGCAATGGTTTACTCAATTCAGTGCCGCAACTATAAAAAAAGTTTGAGGGGACCGAATCTTATTAAGTGAAATGTCCCGAAAGAATAACTTCCTAAAAAAAATAGAAAAATTGCTTTTCGTACTGAATTAGAAATATACAGGGTGTCCCATAATAACGTGTACAATAGATGATCACAGATTCGTGGACACAAAATAGGCAGATTTAGGCTAATTCACTTATATCCAAAATAGCGTCGTTTGGCCGCTAGATGGCTTCGAAGTTCGTGAAAATTTTTAGAATTTTGTAAATAACTCGAATACGTATTATTCAATTTTGATTATTTTTGGGATGTGGACTTTTGCTTTGAATGTATATACACATTCTGGTGTTATACAGAGTGTTTTTTAAAACTTACTACTCCTACAAAATTGATGTATGGTGATAGTATCCGTTCATAACTTTTTCCTCTTTCGGGCAATATTAACAACTATTTTTTATTTGATAGGTGATACCATTTGGAAGTTTTTGGATCCCTTGTATAATTTTGATTAAGTGAGCGGTTTGGGTACAAAAAAATATGTTTTAAATGTCTACATTATCTTGCTACCCATATTACAATACTTAACAAAGTGCTAGAGTCACTGATTTTGTAGGTTGACTGTAATTTCAGTTTGATAATGTCAAGAGGACCAAAAACTTCCAAATGGTATCACCTATCAAATAAAAAATAATTCTCATTATTTCCCCAAAAGAGGAAAGTTATGAACCGATATTATCACCATACATCAATTTTGTAGGAGTTGTGAGATTTAAAAAACCCTCTGTATAACATCAAAATTTGTAGATTGAAAGCAGAAAATCGATTAATACATATTCGAGTTATTTACAAAATTTAAAAAATTTTCACGAACTTTGAGGTCATCTAGGGGTCAAACGAAGCGATTATGGATATAGGTGAATTAGCCTAAATCTTCCTATTTTGAGTCCACGAATCTGTGGTCTTCCATTGTACACGTTATTCTGGGACACCATGTATATTCCACGACTAATTGAAAGTTTGTGGGGGTGAGTAATTTTATTTAATTCCTTCGCGCTGGCAAATTAAATTTCAGATAAATTAAAGCAATAAGATCAAGATTACATTAAAACACAACATTCTGTTTCACCGGCTGTGATTGGTGTATTTTTTTACGAAATTCTATTCAACCAGTCAACGGTGGCATTATCGAGCATAGACGTAACAGTTTGTCATTGTTCATTGTAAACGAATCATTAATATTGGTAACGCCAAGATTTAGGGAATTCTCGTTACTAGTATTAGCCCTGTAATTTATTTATTTATTTATTTATTTATTTAAAATTACAACTGCTCACTGGAAAATCCCAATTTCAGAGCAGGGAAAATCAAAAAATATATAGTAAGTGATTACAAAATACAGTAGAAAAATGAAAAACACTTGAAAATACATAGTAGAAAATACTACAATATGTGATAAACAATAATAGTACATTATACTATAAGGGAGAGAAATGCGTTATTTTGGCAGAGGTGCAATTTGAAGCCCGGGCTACAATGCACCGAGGACAAAATAGCATCTCTCCCGAATGGTATATACTATTTTTTCCACGGTCTCATTAACTTAAAAACACATATTTTGTCATTATGAAGTAAGTAGCACCAGAATTATTGTATTCGGATTTGAGCATTTATTTAGTAGTCGTTGAGTTATTGTCATAACTACAAAATAAACAAACAAAAAGAATTGTCAAATTAAGGTGCTAGTTTGGTTTAGTTTAAAGTTTGTTTAGTGCACAATGAATAATTGTGAGTCGGAAGAGATTGTGGAGGCTGCAAATATTGCAATAAGCAATTTGCTGCCTACGAAGTCAAGATCTTTATACGATTTAGCCTACAATCGGTTCAAAAAGTGGTGCGCCAAGAAAAATGTTCAAGTATACAGCGAGAATGTTTTGTTGGCATACTTCAGTGAAAATGCAAAGAATTACAAGTCTTCCACATTATGGGCGCAATATTATATGGTTAAGTCATGCTTGATAATTTACGAAAACATAGATATAAGCAAATTCCCCAAGCTGATCGCATTTTTGAAAAGAACCGGTGACGGATATCAAGCGAAAAAATCGAAAATATTGACAAAGGGTGAAATGGACCTTTTTCTATCAAGTGCAGATGACAAAGAATTCTTAATGATTAAGGTAAGATTACTTTTGTTGTTAGGTATTTCAATTATTAAGTATTTTGATTTTTTATAGGTTGGATTAATTCTGGGGATTGCCGGAGCTTGTCGAACTGATGAACTAGTCAATTTAACTGTAGATGATATTGAGGATGTAGGCTCTTCCTTGATTGTAAAAATTCCAAACACTAAGACAAAGATTCCACGAACCTTTGTGTTACCGATGTGGGAAATATGCTTGAATTGTTTCGAAAATACCTGTCCCTTCGTCCTCCCCACGTCAAGCATAAGCGCCTTTTTTTTGTACTACAAAGCAGGAAAATGTAGTTCTCAGCCAGTTGGCAAGAATATCATGGGAAAAATTCCGAGTGTAGTAGCTTCGTATTTAAAATTACCTGATGCTGCATGTTATACTGGTCACTGCTTACCAAGATCTTCAGCGACATTACTGGCAGATGCTGGTGTGGATATCACGACAATAAAGCGTCATGCTGGTTGGAAATCAACGACAGTCGCTGAGGGTTATGTCGAGAACTCCATTGAAACTAAGACCAAAATTGCTAATCAGGTTTTAGTAGGTACCACTACTAGCGCAATCACAAAAACTGTAAATGTAAGCGAAAGTAATATTCCTTCTAATATTAATTTTGAAAATTGTACAAATGTAACATTTAATTTAAATGTCAATAAATAATTTCAATGTTATCTTTTTTTTGCATGAAAAACGTTCTCCATAATGTAAACTCCCTTGGGAGCATTATACTCCCTTGGGAATAATCGACTAATTCTGTTTTAATTTTGATGTCATACAAATTGATTTCTACTCCCGACTGTGGAAAAAACGTATTTAAACAACTAACTATAATAATAATATCACCTAAGCTCGACGGTCACGTGTCTTGTAAACATTTATGAAGGCTCTGTATATTGGAACAAATCATATATTTTAAATTTCGGTACCCTGCATCTTGCATCTTTTACAACCTCCTATAACTATAGTTATGACACATAATTTGAAAGTACCTTGTATATTTACTATTCTTTGCAAAAACCTTATACAAGTACCTCACCTAAATGTTTCACAATATACAGAGTACTCTAGTTCTAACCTTTGACTGAAGTTTTTTGACATATATCTTCTTAATTTTTCCAGTGCAAACTTCAGCGGTCCCTCAATTCAGCAAATCACCCCTCCCGTAGACCATGCAGAAGGTCCCACGTGGGACGGCCGAAAGAACATCCTATACTTCGTAGACATCCATTACGGAGGAGTGTTGGCTTACCACTACGACACCAACAAGCTGACGAGGGTAACCCTCAACGGAGAAGTTTCACCAGTGGTGCCCAGCAGGAAAGATCCGAACATCCTTCTGGTCGGCCTCAATAGGTCAGTCGTGGCGATCGAATGGGACGGGAATCTGGCGCTTGGAGGACAGCAGGTGTTGGCGACGGTGTCGAAGGACCATCCCACCAGCAGGTTTAACGATGGAAAGGCTGATAAGCAGGGAAGATTGTGGTGGGGTGAGTCATTTTGGAAAATCGTTTTGTTTGAGGTTAAATCTTGTAGGAGCTTTCCTTATAGCTTATATAATAGCTCCAATGTGGATAGTTCACTTAAAACAAAGGTCCTTGATTTGACAGTGTAAAATAAGAAATAGGAATATGCAATAGCTATTTTTATAACAAGTACGGAAAGTACAAATTTGGTTTGTTTGTGAATGATTATCTAATGAGTCCTATAATAATTTTGCATGCGTGTTAGTGTACTTCGCATGGCATTAGATTTGGCGAGTGAATTTACATTATTTTGGTTTGACTTTGCCACAACAGGCGTGCACTGCAATTATCGTTTTGCCACCTTGAGCGAATTTTTCAGTGGGAAGGCCTTTGCATACAAAATTTTATAACACAAGCTTCACAGTTCGCTAAAGGCAATTACCTACCATAAGATATACAGGACAAGGGGGTGCGTCTAATTGTTGACATTGACCACAGTTTTAGGGCAAGTTAGGCAGTCCGCGACCAGGAGGCATCGCGATAAGTCGTCAAAACTTAAAAAGCATGCCTTAAAAAGAGGCAAATTGTTATTTAAACTGTTATTATAGGGAAATAAAAGTATTGGAATAAATAATAATGATGAATATGTAATTTGTTAGATTTAAGAGCTTCGATCGCGATGCCCCCTGGATTCTGACGTCCTACAAACGTCAAAATTTGTGGGCAAACCTCACGCCCTTCCTTTGACTTATCTGATAGCGTAGTTTTACTAGATGGCATTCTTTTAATGAAAAATTTTAACTAGACTAATTTTTAGTGACGTTTTATTTTGCGTTGCGATTGTTGTTTCTAAGGGAAAAAATAAACAATAATATTAATAATCTTCAATAGATTAAAGTCAAATCTCAAAGAAAACATATTTTACTTGTCGAGCGACGTGTAAAATTCAGATAATATCTAAATTAATTTAAAATATAATATTAACAAGTTAATTGCAACTAACAATAAATTACGCAAAAATACATAATAAATAGCTAACTATACAGGGTGTCCCACCACGAACTCTATCGATGGATATCTGGGAAACCGCTTTAAGGATTTTTTGGAAATTGTCCGGTTATATCGGAAGTCGATACTAACTTTCGTATTTTAAATGGAACCCCCTGTGTATTATTGCATTTTTGGAAAGAGCATCTATTTTTAAGTTGAAAACATATCACTCTATACTTAGGACTGACCGTTTCCGAGATATTTCAGCTAAATTTTGTTTTCTCGGAAACACAGGTTTATTTTTTTGTGCAAATTGGACATTTTGTAGAGAAAGACCTAATTTATCGAATTTGACATGCAAATTTTTCAGTTTTTATACAGGGTGGTCAAAAAAAGTTATTGAATATAAAAAAATGTGGAAAACTCAAAATTTTTAAATGGAAACCCCAAATTTTTTATCGTATTCGCATTCTGCACTAAAATTAAGTATAACTTTGTTAAAGTTTACCTATACCTAAACCCAGTGGATTTCATTTTATTTACGAATAAACATTTCCCATTTCTTAGAATGATGTTTCCATTTGTTTCACACATTTTAGGTTGGCCCTGACAAGTAACTAACAATCAACATGACAACTGTCACAGGTTTTTAATTGTCAAATTTATTTTAATATATATTCAAAATGTCTTCCTTCAACTTTTCAACTTCTAAACATTATTCACACCTTTGGATTAGTTCCCTGCGGATCGCTGCTCTAATAGAATCCGATGGTAGATGCTCAAATGCTTGCCTTACTCTATGCATACAAATTTGACAATTAAAAACCTGTGACATTTGTCATGTTGATTGTTACTTACCTGTCACGGTAAACCTAAAATGTGCGAAACGAATGGAAGCATCATTTTAAGAAAAGGAAAATGTTTATTCGTAAATAAAATGAAAACCACTGAGTTTAGGTATAAGGAAACTTTAACAAAATTACACTTAATTTTAGTGCATAATGCGAATACGTTAAAAAAATTAGGGGTTTCCATTTAAAAATTTCGAGTTTTCCACATTTTCTGAACTTCATATTCGATAAAAAAAATTTGACCACCCTGTATAGAAACTGGAAAATTATCGTCAAATTCGATAAATTATGTCTTCCCCTACAAAATGTCCAATTTGCACAAAAAAGTAAAACTATGTTTCCGGGAAAACTAAATTTTGCTTAAAAATCAAAATATCTCGGAAACGGTCAATCCTAAGTATGGAGTGTGCTATATGTTTTCAACTTAAAAATATATGCTCTTTCCAAAAATGCAATAATATACAGGGGGTTCAATTTAAAATAAGAAAGTTAGTATCGACTTCCAGTATAACGGGAAGTACGATGAACTTAAAAATATTTTAGCTTGGTAAGCCCCACGGTCCATATCACACCATCACATTTCAAAAAAATCCTTCGAGCAGTTTCCCAGATATCTATCGATGGAGTTCGTGGTGGGACACCCTGTAGTCATAACAATATAATATATTATAACAGACAACTGATGTTTATTTATAACAAAATAATATAATAAAATGTATCCACAACTATTTTGCGGCCTATTCCCAAAACGTCTAATTTTTCGGACTACTGTCAGTTCTTAAACTATTTTTGATTCCATAAATATATGTTTATGAACGAGCATACTTTTGCTAGCTGAGACGTTAGCTGAGGTCGACAAGCTTGCGGGGTTATAAAAATGTAAGTTTTAACTTACAAATTCAGTTTTACTGTTGACCTCAGTAATTATATCTTTCTAATTTAATGTCAGAATGTCACTTTTTAGATGTGTACAACCGCTGATTGATTCTACTGATTATAGCGAAAGTAATTCCGTGAATGATGGACATAAAATAGTATGTAATATGTAAAAAGTGACACTTTACGTCTGGAAATGGGTTGATAGAACTTTGTTTTACGATAAAACGATAAAAAGTAATTATATTAATGTGAAATTAGTAACTTTTTAAAACTTTTTAAATAAATCATGTAATACAGGTATTAAAACATCGTAAGGCAACAAAATTATTGCGAAAGAAGAAACCTACTAAAGGTTAGAGAATAATTATTAAGACAGAAGTGTGATTTTGCTTGGATGGATAGTGAAAGCTCTTGTGGTACTCTTTATAGCTCTTTATGTGACCTTTTCTCTGTATCTGCGTATGCATTACGTATTTGCGCAATAGCATGTTCCATCAAATTTATCTTGTACATGATTTATTAAAAAACAAAATTCCTGTATATTTTGAACAACACTTCTGAAGTACCCTGAATTTATCTAGTGAATAAATAAATTAAAAATAGGCATATCTAATCAATCATCGGCTCCAGAAAATATCACAGCTTTTACCAAATGTGTTGAGGTTGAGATACATTCAATAACCGGTTGTGTCTAGACAGTTTCACTTTTCTTAAAAGTTGGGCAAACTCATACCTGAAGGTCGTTTCCGCAATTAAAACCTTTAAAACATACAGTACAATCAAAACGTTAAAATTGCAGATGCAATTATCGTACGAATTTTTGCTCTTAAAACCGATAAATGATTTCTAATCCGTGTGCAATCCATGGTTTTGTAATCTTGAACTTAAAGCGAGTCAACCAAGCAAGTAACAGCCGGTATTGATAATTTTGCACAAGTTTGCAGTACACTGTAATGGATTTTTGCCTTTATCCCTTTACATTATTGTTACTTCATACATACAAATGAGATTTTTGTGAAACTAGGCGGATGTTATGAAAATAAGAGATAAAAATTGGACAATCTACCTAAAGAGCTTCAGATAAATTTTGTGACAATACCGAAGCAATTCTGTCATGGACCATTTGAAAAAAACAAAGAATTTTCGTTTCAAACTAGAAGATTAAACGAAGTAGTGCCAAATAAACGGCTGCAAGAGGCAAGTGCAAGTGCAGTCGGTGAGCTATTCCGCCGAAGGACGCTGCTTTTAAAAGTTGGCAAAACTATATCAATACTGCGGTTAGAGAGACATTTTTTGTAAGACGTATTACAATATCCTTATACAAATCTCTACGGTGACTAATACTTTTTATGCGTTTGTCCCAGTTTTGTTAAATCAGTTTCTTTTTCATTTTTAAATCGTACCTTATTACGATTATAACCGAAAAATGTTTCAGTTACACATATTACAGCAGTAATTACAAAATTCATGCAGTTCGCACGGTAACATTGATGTTATGAAATTTTTTTAAATGAGGCCACGTATGCAGTTTTACTCAAACAAAGCAACAGGCTGCAATCTAATGGAGAAATCCTACAATGACGTTAGTGAACTTTATTTTGTCGTATTTAAATATTTGAACAGTAAAACATACAACCTGGTTAATGAATTGCATGGGAGAAGGGGTGACTTATTATTCTGCAGTATAACTTTTGAAGTTATTTATACTTAATCGCTTACGTCAGGTTTTCATATTCGCCTTATTGATTTTCGTCAATTTTACATTTCGCCATAAGTGGAAATAGAATAGCCCTAGCAAAATGTCCTCATTAAACAGGACCCACAGAGGTTACGCTGCTGCTATAACAAAAAAGCTTTTTGCTAAGTAATCCTAATAATTTTTTTGGTAATTTTTTATTTCGGTAACTATAGCACAATCTTGTAACCTAGCTAAATTTTTGTTCGTGGCTGATAGGTTTTTATACTGTAATGACGAATTCTCCGACAGCTTTTTTAACTTAAAATGTATCTATGACTTCTTAGACATTAATAACTTATTTTCTTGTCATAATTATATGCGTTTAACTTGATCCAGTAATTAACTTAAAGTTTCACTTTATATTTAAAAGGTTACAAGCAAAAAGCAAGAGACCTATAATATAGCGCCATCTATTGGCTATTGTAGCTTTATTTTCTTCACAAAGTTGAAATCATTAACCCTCTTTCTAAAGCCTTACAGCATCAAAATGTTGACTTACAAAAAGCTAGCATTTTATTAGGAAATCTTTTGAATAAACTGATAGAAATCAGAGATCAAAATTCATT